TCGAAGCGCTCAGAGGCGAAATAAAAAAGTTCTCAATGGTTGAAGTTTCGGATTCGAAAAATTTCTAAGCCTTACAGAAAAAAAAATTTTTTCTCGGTAACCGGCAGTTCTGATAAGAGTTCTGGACGCCCCCCGAAGAGTTCTAACGATAATTGTTAACACTCGTAACGCTTAGAGGCGAAATAAAAAAGTTCTCAATGGTTGAAGTTTCGGATTCGAAAAATTTCTGTACTTACAGAAAAAAAATTTTTTCTTGGTAACCGGCAGTTCTGATGAGAGTTCTGGACGCCCCCGAAGAGTTCTAACGATAATTATTAACACTCGAAGCGCTCAGAGGCGAAATAAAAAAGTTCTCAATGGTTGAAGTTTCGGATTCGAAAAATTTCTAATAAAAATTTTTTCTTGGTATTACGGCAGTTCTGTTGAGAGTTCTGTACGCCCCCCGAAGACGTTGTAACAATAATTATTAACACTCGAAGCGCTCAGAGGCGAAATAAAAAAGTTCTCGATGGTTGAAGGTTCGGATTCGAAAAATTTTTAAGTCCTACAGGAAAAAAATTTTTTTCTCGGTAACCGGCAGTTCTGTTGAGAGTTCTGTATAGCCCCTCACGAGTTCTAACGATTATCCTTAAGGCTCGAAACGCTAAAATCAAAATTGAACGAGTTCTCGCTATTTTTCGTTTTCTAAGTCGAGAATTTCAAATTTAATTTACGTAGTATTTCGAGCAGAACTATTTTTGAATCTTATCTAGAACTATAGAACTATTTAAAATCTACTCAGAACTATAAAAAAATTTGGATTTTTTACATAATGGGGGGCGCCGTGAAGTTAGCCCCCCCATTTTTCAAATGGTGTTTTCTTTACTTTAAATGGCAGAACTCTTTCTAAAATGGTCTGAGAACTCTAGAACTCCTCGGGGGGCATCCAGAACTCTAATCATTTTTTTTTATTTTGAAAAATGGGGGGCCAACTTCACAGAGGTGCATTAGTTGCTTTCTTCCATTAGTCACGTAAAAGATTAAACCATCAACTTCTTAACATCGAACGAGAAAAAGTATTCCCTTCCTCCTAATTTTTCCCCACGCAACCGTTAATAGCGATTGAATCTATTGATGAGGTAATCGACGTTGTCATTGCGATATATTTTGACCGCGCCGCATCGCCGAAATCGCAGGACAATATCCCGTGTTCG